CGGTACGAGGTTCTGCTTTTCCCTTGTTTTGCGCAGTTGTTTTAAAATGAACATTTTTGGCCCCTTGTTTGCTATTATTATTGGTGCAGGGAGCCCAGTAAGACTGTTCTGACTTCCTCACACCGCTGCCAGCACAACAGCTGGGCTGAGACTGCGTCTCACCCCTCCGCGGACCTGCCTCGGTGAATTCACAGGTAGCAGTGCCACTCGCAGCACAGAGTAGGTGGCTTTGATGCTCTGCAGCAGAAATGACCCATGCCTTTACCGGCTTTTCAGAAGATATTAACAACATCAGAGAAAAAGTGTTCCTTTTGTTCCGATTATATTTCTAAGCTTTGTAAACTGAACTGTTTCCTGTGGTATACTGTAGATGATCTTCTGCGAGGTACTAATTTGAATTGGTCTGTGAGGTCCAAGAAAAGTGAGCCTTTTGTCACGAGGCTCATTTCAGCTGTACTTAGCTCTTTGTCTCAACTGGAAATTCTTAGGGGTCTGCAAATCAGAAAGGTCAGCAACTGTAGCATTAGAAACACTGGTAGATAGTGCATGAAAATGAGACCCAACCTCTAAAATGAAAATTGACCTCTGAAATGAGAAATGAATCTCTATTACCCTTGGACAACACCCTGATGGCATTTCTAAATCCCTCTAATTTTGTACCATGTACTCTGAGCATCTCCTTAACTAGCACAGAGAGGGAGACCTTTTAAGGTGAATTCTTTAGAAAGCACACGTCATCGACTCCAGTGTAAATTTTAACAATGGCTTGGTGTCAGCCAGGGTGGGTGAATACTCACCGCTTTTGAAGCTCTGGCCGTCGGATGTGTTCTGCAGGGATGCTGCCCTGCTCTTCGTTAGCGGGTGCAGATTGTCGGCTCTCCCATGCTCAGGACACAGGGGGGAGAGCCCCTTCCTGACTGGCCCTCCCTGAACACGGCTTATGGGCCTTGGCAAACTGTGCAACCTCTGCGCGCTCTTCTTTACTCCTGTGGTAGGTAGACCTTGGTTTTGACTAGGGAGTCTGTTGGGTTGGTTTTAATGGAATTTGGGAGTGCTTCTTGGCTCCTGATGGGAAGCTTTGTGGAGTTCAGAAACACACGCAGGAGCATTCCTGGCAAGCATTGCTGCTTCCTTTCAAAGACAAATAAAACTTACTTCTTCTGCTTGCTGTTGCCCGTTGTCCACTTTGCATGCAGTTTGTCCTCCTGGTACCAGCTTTTGGTAGGAGCAGCTTGGTGTTGGTAGCTGAGCTGCAGGCGGCTGGATGTGGTTGCCGTTCGTTGCAGGTCAGCGGTTGTGTTCGTTTACGTGGGAGACTGGGCTAAGGTTTTTGAAGTTGAGGGAAGATGTGAAGAGGTGAAGGAGGGAAAGCAAAATGGATATCTTTCAAATCAAAGCCTTTTGATGCTGAAATTGCCTGACTCAAAACCCTGTCTTCACACATCAGGGCTTAATGCTGATAGTGATTTACTTACACTTCCTAGTTAATAATTAGACATTGGGAGACACTATATATCACTCCTAATGGAATATATGGGGTCTGATGAGAGTTTTCTGTTTTGACTAATAAATTTTAACCAGAATCACCAAGCTTAATAAAATATTACAGCTTCAAAAGTGTTTTAAGTCTTGTGCTGTGAAAACAGTGCTGCTTTATTCAGTAAATGAATTTATCATTCATTCTGTATCCTGAGCCCTAGCTGGCTCTGGAGCATGGGCTGAATGCAAGACTCTGAACTAGAAAGCGGAAAAACTAATCAAATCCTTAAAGACCAAAGGCAGCGAGGCAGGTCTAGACTGACTTTTTCAGTGGTAGCCTCTGGCTACATCCACGTTTATTTTAGTAACCATTGTTAGCATGATTTATAACTTTAGCTTTAAGACGTACACTATTTAGATGTAATACGATGCTTCGCAGCTTTTATTTCTATTCCCTAATTTCCCTCTTGTCCCTGCCTTATTTTTTTTCCCCTTCCTTCTCGTCTTTGTCTCCCTCTCCTCTCCCCAGCAGTGTCCCCAGTCCTGCAGTTGACGCTGCGCTGAAAGAACATTTCGCTGTCAGCCCCAAGGTCAACAAAACCGTGGCTGCCTCAACTAATGGCCGATCGGCTGGTGGCCTAGTTAGTGCAGAGGAGACGGCTGTGTGCAGGGCTTAGTCTCCTACTGCTGCACAAAGCTTTTCCCTGCTAATTCTGGGGAGAGGATCCTCTACGCAGAGGAGAGGACGTGCCCCCCAGCAAATAACGGGATCCCTGCTGTTGCCTTGCTAAGTGGCACACAGTTCAACTCCTTGCCCTTCACAGCTGTCACGGGCAGCCCTGCCTGGAAAAAGGAGAGCGATCCTGCCCGGCAATCCTGCCCGGCAGTCCTGCCCAGCAATCCTGCCACTTCCCAGGTGCGGCGTGAGCAACCTGCCCCAAACACGCATCTCTTTTAAGGCCTTGGTGGCACTCCTTAGTCTACCCGTCTGTGGATTTAGTGGGACACCAGGAAA